TTGAAAAATGCCCCGGCGTGAAGTGGTTAACTTTGTAAGGAAATTACTGTTTGAATGTTACTACATTTGTAATCAAGCTTTCCAGTTATGTCTTAATTTTACAGTAACCTCATTCAAGTTGCATGATCGTGCCAAGCATGTATTTGGAGAAGCTAACCGAGTTATGAAGTTCAAGGAGATTTGTGACCAAGCACCAAGTGATGCTGCCATCCAGTTAGGAGAACTCATGAGTGACAGTCATACAAGCTGTAGAGACTTGTATCAATGTAGCTGTGAACATCTGGATCAACTCGTAGAACTCTGCAGGTGAGTGAGTGGGTAGGGGTTGTTACATGGTGGATCGGTTGGTGCTACCCCTAGGATTCAAGAGTGACAGTCATACAAGCTGTAGAGACTTGTATCAATGTAGCTATGAACCTCTGGATCAACTCGTAGAACTCTGCAGGTGAGTGAGTGGGTAGGGGTTGCTACATGGTGGATCAGTTGGTGCCACCCCTGGGATTCAAGAGTGACAGTCATACAAGCTGTAGAGACTTGTATCAATGTAGCTGTTAACCTCTGGATCAACTAGCGGAACTCTGCAGATTGTTGGTTTAAGATGGGTGAATGAGTGAGGGTTGATATCTATAGTGTTCATGGGTTTGTGTTGGTCACCGTCCGTAGTGGTTTCCTCTAGACCCAGTAATAAGACTTGGCAGGTTGATGAATGAGGGTTGGTACCTGTAGTTGGTGAGCTGGTATTGCTCACGTAGCTGTTCCCTCTAGACCCAGTAATAAGACTGTCGTGCTGGTGGATTGGTGTTAGTCTCTAGCCGTCTCCTCTAGACCCAGTAATAAGACTCGGCAGGTTGGTGAGCGAGGGTTGGTACCTGTAGTGTTAGTGGGCTGGTGTTAGTCAGGTAGCTGTTTCCTCAAGACCCAATAATAAGACTCGGCAGGTTGGTGAGTGAGGGTTCGTACCTTTGGTGTTGGTCAGGTATTGTAGCTGTTTCTTCTAGACCCAGTAGGAAGACTTGGCAGGTTGGCGAGCGAGGGCTGGTACGTGTAGTGTTTGTGGGCTGGTGTTGGTCAGGTAGCTGTTTCCTCTAGACGCAGTAATAAGACTTGGCAGGTTGGTGAGTGAGGTTTATTACCTGTAGTGTTGGTGGGCGGGTGTTGGTCAGGTAGCTGTTTCCTCTAGACCCAGTAAGAAGATTTGGCAGGTTGGTGAGTGAGGTTTAGTACCTGTAGTGTTGGTGGGCGGGTGTTGGTCAGGTAGCTGTTTCCTCTAGACCCAGTAAGAAGATTTGGCAGGTTGGTGAGTGAGGGTTCATACCTTTGGTGTTGGTCAGGTATTGTAGCTGTTTCTTCTAGACCCAGTAGGAAGACTTGGCAGGTTGGTGAGGTTTAGTACCTGTAGTGTTGTTGGGCTGGTGTTGGTCAGGTAGCTGTTTCCTCTAGACCCAGTAAGAAGACTTGGCAAGTTGGTGAGTGAGGTTTAGTACCTGTAGTGTTGGTGGGTTGGAGGTGGGCATCTACAGGTAGCTTTTCCCCCAGGATCAAGTAATAGAAATCTGCAGGTTGGTGTCTGAAGACGAGTGAGGGTTAGAGGTAGACAAAGTGAGTTACAGTCACACAGGCTTATGAAGGCTTGTATCAGAGTAGCTGTGGAAGTCTAGATTAAGTTGAAGAATTGTACAGCTGGCCATCGGTGGCTAAAGATGGATAAGTAAGGAAGGTACTAGGTTTGTGATAGGTTTATGCTGTGGTGCTGATGGGAAGTTTGTGGTAACACTACAAGCTGTCAAGGTTGTTTCAATGTTTGCTCTGAACCTCTTGATTAACTCATTGAACTCTGTATGTAGGTGTATTGATGGGGGATGAAAGATGAACGACTGGTTCACTTTAGGGTTAGTGGGTGGGTTCGAAGTAGGCAGCAGGTAGTTCTGCTAGTAGCATCTGTGGTTGATAGTCATGCAAGCTGATGCCCTATATCAACACAGCCATGAACCACTGTATCAAGCATCAAAACTCAATTTGAGCCGTTAGGGCTTTTAGTTGGATTCTGGTTGGTGTATTCTGTAAGGGACAAGTGGCTGGGTGAGTAGTACTAAATGTGAATGAAGGAACTCCTTGGCCCTTCAGAAACTTTACAATACATTTATCTTTGCCTCTTTGGAGTTGGAAAATTATTACAAATAATTTTTTTATTTCTGCAACAGACTTTCCGGATCACTGGGCTCACGTCTTACAGGAGCTGGTTGGGGTGGATGTGCAGTTTCCATGGTACCATCAGAGATTGTTGATGACTTCATCAGCAAGGTGCAAGCTGGGTATTATGCAGCTAATCCTAAGCTACAGTGTCGAGTCAAGGAGAGCCTGTTTGCGACAGAGCCAGGCAACGGAGCCAACATATTTGAAATGACTGCAGAAACCTCACTCTGAAATCAAAACAGAGTTCTTCACAATATGTCACAACTCATTTCTGTTTATCAAAAAGGTACAAATTTCCAGATTTGGGAAAGTAAATGTTTTTTCAAAGTCCTGATGAGAAGGACTTAAATAAGATTGATTTAACATTCCTAACAATTTGGCATATAATTGTTTTTGCATCAAACAGATACAAATGTTATATTTACTGCAAATGCAGTACCATCAAAAACTTTGTGAACTTTTTGCGCTGGGACGAGAGTAGCGTACACTATGCTTATAAAAAATTGATGATGGAAATATATACATGAAAGTTTAAACATACTTCCATTTTTACTTTTTGCTGACCCATTTTCCCCATTTATATGCTTGCCAATTTCATGTTTAGTGCTTGTATAAAACACAAACAGTATTCTATTTCAAGCATTTATTTCATGAAGAATAAGAAGAATGCACTCATCACTACTTAGAGACTTGTTCATGTACATCAGTTACAACAGTACCAAGAATGCGAGTTTCACTGACTTTCATGAGAAAGATGCCCAAGTTTTTTCTTTGATTTCAACCAAATTGAGAATGCAAATGCATGTATATTTAAACCAACTTTAGTTCACTGCTGAAAATAATGTGCAATGCTTTATTTTCAGCGTTAACCACTTGCTGCCGGGTGCTTTCAAAAATGCAGTGCACACATACAGGCCATTTTCAAGATATTCAGTTTTCAAATATCTAAAAAAAAAATCCATCATTTCATTTAATGGACATTTACACCCACACAAATGACTCTTTGGTGTCTACTCTAAGTTGACAGGTAACCTTCATTGACTCCTGAGTATTTCAGCCAGGCCTGCCGCCCTGTAAAGAAAGAAGCCCAGAATTTGAGGTGTTGCATAATTTCCTTTGTTCCAAGTGAATGCGAGTGGCATCTTTTTAAACGCTACTGGATTAGCATGCAGCAGTGCTGTGTCGCTCATCAATGGGGCCCTGGAGCACTTTTGTCCGTGGTGCTAATCTGCAGGCACGCTATGCCCAAAACAGAGGTAGACTGTTTAAGAACAGTGACAGATTACCTTCGAAAAACGCAAGCCAAAAAAATGATGGCAATTCCCAGAAGCAGGTCTTTTGTTCAGAGTAGGGGCTTTTGTTACATGTACCAGCTCTTTTGTCCCATTTCGGGCACCCAGCTCTGCGTATAAACCCATGGTGCCCGAAACGGGGTTCCCCGACAGCAAGTGGTTAATGCTCTTCCAATATGTAGTTGCCAGAATTGATAGGAAAATATCGTAAATGTTCAATTGAAACCTTTCAAAGTAACATCCCTATCAGAATATGAGGAATTTTAGTGGACTTCACCATGGGCAGATCAAATTGGCAAGGTTGGAAATCTTCAGGTGACAAGAATATGACGGACAGAGAGTGTCTGTCCAAGAAGTGAGATTACATGGATGAAGAGAACAAGGGTGGAAACAAGAACAGGGAAAAGATGAAATGGGTAGGTAAAAGAGAAGATGGATAACATAATACCACACAGGCAACAGCAGGGAAGTTAAGCAACCTGATCCGACGATCGTTTCTTACAAGCATATACAGGACATAAGGTCCAAATGTAACCGGTTCGTTCAAAATGAGAAAATTCCAAATAGAACTGTCTCACCTGTGCTGCATTACACAGCTCAAATTGTTGCCCAGATGCCCAGTTCAAGTTGCCATAGCAACTCATTGTCTCCAAAAGAGATAAAAAGCAAGCAGCTTTCCACCATGGTAAAACATATTTATTATAAAATATCAAACTGCCTTGTAAGAAAAACATCAAACAGCTCCAAAATACATTTTTACAATGCATAAAAACGTATTTATATAAGTCATGTACAATAAAAGTTAAATCCTTAGTGCACATTAATTAAAGTCTTGAAATGTGAATAGGATTGTGATTGCCAGTACAGTTGATTCTCGTTATTACAAAATCGGCCATACCAGTGGGCGAGTAAACTCAGACTATCGATCAATCGTGTCATGCAGCTAGTGTCGAAATCAAGACAAATGGAAAATTAAATAACCATGTCTCTCCATGACACAATTTGTGTACTACGTACATGGATGGGGGCTCTAGTTGATGAGTCTTCACATTCCTGCAGGTACACATGCATAGGCCTACATGGGCATGTCATTTAGTTACTGTTGGCTTCGTCGTCATCCATTGCAATCGAAAGTCGTTTAAAAATCCCTGGATCAATGCTTTCACATGTATTTGCTTTTTTAAATCTAACATGCACATTAAACATGTTGTCAGTATATGACAGTGAAGTTTATTATTCTAAACCCGTTACAATATATTTGATCAGTCATAACCGAGCAATCTTTTTGATAAAACATGAACCACGTTGATATGTATGCATGTAGAGTACATTGTACATGTACATGGCACTGTACACAATGGGACCTATTCATTCAATGCACCGAAGCTATTACATTGCATTCCCTCACAACGAATTTCGGATACAATGACAGATTCTACTTGGTCCCATGGATTCGTAATAACGAGAGTCGACTGTATGTGGTGGATTCATGTAATAATGACCAGTAGTTGATGGGATATTTATGAACTGACAAATACATTTTGCATAACTTACTATTAAAGTTGAGGTTCGTTATTTGAAATTATCCATAAGGTAGGAATATTTGAAAAAAATGTTTAACACTTTATATTTCAAACACCAGTTCAATTTTACCTTTGAAGATCAGAACTAAGTTGTACTGTAACAATGAAGGTGTTTCGATTTTTTTTTCTGGCCAAACCTGTGCTTATGAAAAGACTCCAACGACTTACTTGCAAATGGAGAAGTCTCAAACTTTCAAATATCCAAGCTTTTCAGTGTTGACAATTTTATTTCCTTGTCAAGAATGTGACAATTCACCTTTTCTCCATCATTAAATTACCCATGTTCCATTGATATCATTTTCCTTGTGAATCTTTAGTTTCAAGCTATTATTCATCATCAAAGTCTTCATCAGACGATGAATTGTAGCCGCTACCAGTCCTCTTGTTTGCAGGCAAAACTTGTCTTTCCTAAAAGAGGAAAACAAAATAAACCACAAGAAGATTACTCAAACTGTACAAGAATGAGGGCGATATTAATTTTATTTCAGGTTTTGCCCTTACACTCGGTGCTTCTCCAAGAGCTTATGAATATACATGTAAGGGCAAAACCTGTAATTAAAGATTACTAAAACTTTATCATGAAGCATGTCAAACATCAAACTATTTCCAGTGCATTTGGACTACAATGCGCACAGCCAATGATTTCTGCCACAAAAACGACTATTATCCATATTTGATAATCTTGAATTTTGTTTAACTACAGATTAATCCAGACACAACGTTAGATGCTTCCAATGGGCCCCTTCCATAGTGAAAGTGAGAAGAATTGTCTTCTTTTTTGTGAGTTGCATGTGGGTCTGAAAAGAACTGTTTATAAATTGACATTTAAGCAGTGTGCTGTCTGTTTGTGAGAAATCTTTATCCGCCGAAGTCTCATTCTTTAGTTACGTTGCAAACTTTGGGGGTGGATTCTTAAATTGAATTCTGCTTATATTTCCTTCCGTCTACTTTCTGCACAGAATGGACCAGTCAGTCTTCCAACAGCACATCTCAAAATGAAGTATGTCACGTCATATGTAAATGCACCCACCTGAAATCAGCCCTCTTAACATGCACAGCCATACATAGACTCACAAAACACTTGAGTGTCAAGTGCCTTGTTCTCATGGCTCCTTATCAGTCCTCATTTTATTCCTAGCATCCATCTAATTCAGACAGGCTAGCCCCCAGTTGAATGATCCAATGCAGCTCCATGCACCTTGTTAGCCTGCACACTTTAACTTTCTACTTGTCTATCTACTTGCAATGGTTAGCTAAAAACTGTCTACTTGCAAAATCTTCTAGGGAGTCTGCAATGCTGTCAATGTCAAGTTACTCTAAAAACTTGCGATGTGGTCTTTATTTGGATTGGATGAGGCAGTGAAGCAAATGAAAGTCAAATCTGATTGCTGATTCAAATTGTGATATTCAACTATAAATGTAACTCTACATGCCCAAATTTACTGCATTCATATGACCATCCATTTCCACTTTAAAAATCACATCTACAAATTGCTGCATTATATTTTCAAACTGTTGGAGTTGGGGATAGATTACATGCTGCAAAACAGAAGGCGAGTTTCCACACACCAAGCTCACATATTGCTGCTAGATATTTGTTAGCGAAGCATTTCTGTCAAAGCTACCCAACACCCAACGTATATACCATTCAGCTGGAGCACTTAGCTCTTTCAGTTAATACGCCCTGACAAAAGCGACTAATAACTCCGCACAACTGCAAATTATAATGTAACTCAAACCAAATGGTCTGACATTCAATAACTAAGTTTGGGAAAACAGTGAAAAAAAACCAAGAATTAACTCTTTGCATGTAGCCAGGTGATCAGAGAACCCTTAAACATTTGGACTTCCTTTGTAACTTTCTTGATGAAGAAAGACCATGAGGAAAGAATTCACAAGCTTCTTAAAAGCATTAAGCTGTGGATGTAAAAAAGCACAGTACATCCAGCGACAAAAATTTAGCACTAAATACAATAATCTGGCTACATGTAACTTAAATTTCATGCTTCTCATCATGCAAATTAAAAGCAGAATTTTCCTGATATTTTTATTATGAGATCTTTTATCTAAAATTGAGTGGTAAACGATAAAGAAATAAATGTAAACAAACAATGCTAATGATAAGGCCGATGAAAACATGACATGAATTTCTGTCTTTTGTAAGTTTTATCTGGTCCATCCATATTTAAGTTGCAATGGTCTACTGGGTCACCTATTCTTGGCATTCAGCTACACATATGCAGCAAGGTATGAGACGGAGAGAACCTCCCCTGCTTTGTGTTGGTCATTGTCTGGCAGGAATCTGGGGAATTCCTTTCAGACATCTTGGGGGGATGTGTTAAGTAACAATAGTCTGGGATGTGTATAGGGATTGGACATGTTGGGGGGGTACCCCTCGGTCTCATTTCTTGCTGGGTATACAGCTACAATGCCAAAAAGTATCAAAAAATGACAAAACTACCAAAGGATACCGACAACTAAGTCTGAAATATTCAGAGTTCTCAGACCATGTTTACCAAAATGATGGTGGTGAAGTAGGATTTTGATATTTCCACTCCAAAGGAACTGGATGTCAAAATGTTCCCTGGTACCCTGTGATAATGCCTCATGTTGATCTATTGTAAGAATTACTGCGAGCTCCAAATGCACTGCGACAAATACACTACCTCGGCCAATGAAAGCACTCCTTGAGTTAGTATCTGCATCTAGGGATCAGATTACATGCTATGCGGGAAAACAGGCGTGGTTCTAAGATACTCTTAAAGAAAACAACAAATAAATGCCCATCTTCTGGAAGGTGAGAGAGTACGTTGAAAACTGTTTGAAGAATTTTGGGAACAGTATTCCAGATGTTTTTCAATGAAAGATTATCCACAATATTAATGCACATTTTGCGGAGGCATTGCGCAAGATTTAGAGGCTGATCCCTACAAGTTTTCATTTATGTCATTAGAACCACGCCCAGTAAGATTGAGTCACCAGACCTCATATCCAGCTGCTTCCTTTAGTAAAGCCAGGATTCCATCTTTTCCCTCCATTGCCAAAATTATGTAATCGACGAAATAAAAAACAGTATTAACAATCATAGGAAATTCTGAGATTAGAATTTATCTTCAGGCAAACTTGAATTCTCAATTCTGATTGGTCGATCCATCGCAACAAACAGTGTGACATATAACTGTGTTCATGGTGTTGCCCAGTCTATGTCAAACCCTGCTATTCTAACTCAATGCACTGCGCTGTCTTTACACTAAAAGCCAACGCACATCTGCACGACCGTAAATTCAAAGGTGGTGCATTTGCCCGTGCTGATCGTCACAGGTGTTTAAATGCACATACACTCATTACTGCAAGTCAAGTTTGCTTGAAGATTTGGCGAGTGGTACACGGGACACAGATGCACTACATTATGTCATGTTCCACTCACGCTCATGAGATAAGTAATACAAACTGTAACAGAATACAAATAAAGTTAAAATTATGACTTGAGTGAATGGTACAATGTGATTTTTTAAAACAAAATGCAATTTTTTTTGGCAGTATTCTTTCCTAGGTTTATCCAGTAGCTTCCCTAATCACCGATAAGGGAGCCAGGAATATACGTGCAGAGTTTGAATGCAGTTGAACCATTTCTAGAGATTCCACGATCAATTTCCTTCCACCAAATAAACTTAAAGACTGACATCTGTTCCTTCAAAGTTACTTTACCAGTAAAACCAAGAAAATAGGATTAATATGATTTAAAAACTCTGACAACCTTGGCAAACCTTTAGGCGCCAGGTAATAATTTGTTTAATAAATGTGCCAACTGATCCTGAAATATTGTACCATAACTGCAACAGCTAATTTGGGTCTAAAACTCTTCACTGAACAACTCACCCTCATATCTAAGATCTTCTCACTCAGTATCTTGACATCAACATTCCGTAGCAGTATTTTCTGTTTGAGTTGCTCAATCTCCCTGGTTTGTTCTCTCTTCTGTTTCTCAATGGCAGCCATCTCTCGAGCAAGCTCTTCTTTAATTCTAACATTGATAATCAGAGTCAAGATACCAGACCAATAGGTAAAAACCTGTCCAAAACTCATAGAAGCATCAACATAAAATTTTAAAGCGTTGAGAAAAATGCTGTCAGTATTTGTTGATATTTAATGCTGCTCAAGCCCAGAATATAGTCCATACTTTTGTGCTGACTTAAGAGCCTCGGTCTCAACATAAAATTGACTTGGACCTTCAATCAAAAATGTTACAGGTTAGAATACTTCTGAGGTCTTTGTCAGGCCTGCAAAGTCCAACTGAATTTAACCTGTGATTAAAAAACCTCAAAAGTCTTGCTCAGGTGGAGCTTGGAGCTTGTACATGTGACGTCCTACAAACTTAGCATGGAGAAAATTGTTGCATAAAAATGGCTATATAAGGAGCCCTTAGACTTGAGAAAACATCCCTATAGCTCAGGATCTTAGAGTCTGCTGACCCGCTGCATGTATTGTGGAAATTCAACAAGGGGGATAAATTACTCAGTTGGCAGAATTAACGGCAGCTTAAAACTCTCTTTCAGGAAATAACTCACTTTTGATACTCTGCATTCAGAGATTTTTTCATCCGTTGTGTATCTTTGATGACTTCACGATAGGTGAGAGCTGGAGGAGTAAGTCATGCGTCAAGGAATACACCTGCATACTGACTTCAAGGAACAACAGTAATATTGTGAGACAATTCTGATTAGCAAGTTGCTATCCCACTACAGTCGACTCTTGTTACGGGCGTTGGGACTTACTGAAATATCTTGCATTAAACTGGAACCTTGTCTTAAGTATTTTCCCACTCAGATGTGTTATTTGTCGATAATACTACGGTTGAAGGGGAAGGAATTTGCTTTCAAACCAGTTCAAACATGTTCTTTTTGAAATTGGAATGTACATGCAGATTAATTTAATAAATAATTGTTATAATGAAACAAGAATTATACTGTAACTGAAAAGAACCAAGTGGAAAAATAAGAAAATGTAGCAACAGGGCAAGTGGACTCATCACCAGTCACTGTCAGAGCAGTGTAACCTGTACTGCATGGCCACTATCGTGAGATAACACACACGTAAGTACATTAACATTTTAGTTGGGTAATGACTACAGAGATGCAATTTTATACATGTACAAAGTGAAGGGAACCAATGAATTTTTGGAAGGACAATAGAGAGCATAGATCAGGACCTGGGTAATGTATTTTTAGTGGGAAAATGACATTTTTTTAATTTTTGGGATTTAAAACCCCAAGTTTATGGCCAAAAGAATAATGGGTTTAATGGCAAATTAATTTTACGTTAGTTTTAAGTTGGTTAGGGAGATTTTTCTACTCTTTGTTTTTCACTTTTTGGTTGAGAGTCTGTAATGAGTTTGCTCTCATCGGGCTCTCTGGTGGCCTGGGCATCGTGAACACCCATTGTCCGTCACATTCTTTCTGATTGGGTGGCATGAAAGCCCCCACAAAGAAAACCCTTTGATTGCCTGGGAATCTAAAATGCCCCAAAACTGCAATCATGGATTAGGGAGCATTATCACTACACCTTGTACAACAGTACATATATTGAATGGGTATGGCGATTGATGAGATGTTTTCAAATTGCGCATGCTAAATAGATATATAACAATACATCTGCACTTGACCGGACCGGAAAGAGCACTTGTCTTAACCAAAATCTTGTATCACCCAAACTCGTATTAAAGATTTTTCCTCATATGAATGTACACCTTTCGGTCGGGACTGGTGAAATATGCTCATCTTAACCAGAATCTCGTCTTATCCGAGCTTGTATTAACGAGAGTCGATAATACTTGTACCATTTTGAACCAAACCCATCCATTGCAAACAATGTCATTAAAACCCTGGAAGTTTGTTGGTATTTAGACACTCCAATTGATGACACTTCTCCAGAATAATATTAATTATCATGTGACTTCAAAGGATATGGCATTTTGGCAATCTCTGTCCTGCGTACGTTACGTCCAATGTGTTCATTCCCAGCTAAATCCTTCATGTAGAGATAATGAGCAATGAGTGGACTACGACCTTGAATGTTGAATAACACTCTCTCAAAGTCTGGTCCCGGACCCATCTGGTGAGACTACAAAAGAAGATTGGGCAAACTCATAAATCACTACCTTAAGTATTTGGAAATTTGAAAACATAGGAAAACAGGGCAGCAAAGTCCAAAAGATTTCCAAGATCAAGAAAAACAAATAAGCACAGTGGTAGAGAAAAATCAATAAAAGTATAGATTTCTGTGGAGATAACTAGATCAAGAAAGGGTTTATCTCACCAGTACTTTTGCTTAAACAGTATAACAGCTTGTTTTAATCTTGGTTTATTGACATAAAACACGATAAAAATAACTGATCAAGTGGAATAAAAGAGGAATTTATTCAGGGATTTCTGTAAGGGCAATTAGGGATGGAACCTATATGACCTCATGCTTACTGGCGTGGTAGCTTACCCTTCAACTACTTCAGCTTGCTAGGTGCACTCAGCCAAATCAAACTGAGTATTACTACAGGAGTCACAAGCCATGACCCACCAGGGCTGCTAATACGCACTGCTAAGCAAACAATGTTATGCTAACAGAAGCTCTGTGTATTTCGCAGAGACTGTAAGCAGTAAGCACGGCAAAAGGCATACCTTGGAGGAAAAATCTGTTTCATGTAGAGACAAAACAATAAAAATCTGTGTGCTCACCATAAGCACAACTACGCCCTGCACTGTCAAAAATAGCACTTGCATCAGTCAGCAAAATGTTCTGCTTACAGCTTTTCTGCTAACTGTCAAGTGGCTCCATGATACTGTACTCTGACGTTAGGAATACTTGTTTACATGTACACACACCTGCATGTACTGAAAACACATTAAACACAACTCTCACCTCTGCCTGCATTGGTGGTACCGGGGGCAATGCCATTCTGGTGGTATTCATCAACCCTGATTGGGCACCAGTCATGCCAGTCATTGGCTGGAATCGAAGGCTCTTATTGGTCATCAAAGTGACCTCGCGAGACAAGCCAACATTGGGGGCACCCTCCGACCAAGTCTCTTCATCAGAGGGTACATCAACACTGATTGAGAAATCAGCTGCAGGAATAAAGAAAGACACTGGCAGTAATTAGGAATGTGAAAAACAAACCAATAATAGAGATGTGAGGCAAAGAAATTAAGAAGTTCATTCCAAAGGGAATGTAAACCAATAGATAGTTTCTATGACAGTGCATGGAGAAGTGACAAGCACACCCCAGCAATTTCTGTCGGCAGCAACAGGTGCCATTTATTCTCGTCTCAATGCTTCAGTGATTCCCATTGCTTTTATAGGTGCACACGGGCTTCAACTGGTTCATGGAGGTTAAGCATGTAAAGAAACCTCTCGAATCTATGCGTGACAGTCAGGCGTTGTAACAAATACCACTCCATAGCCTTGATGACTTTGGGTCAGAGTGTGACAAGGCAGAGAATGCAATATGAAATGTAGCATATATCTGCAGCCGATTTCCCGAAACGTGGCGTAACTTTGAAGTATGTATAAGCCTTGTGTCACAAATTTATGCTGTAGCTGGGCAATATACTTACATTCGATTTCACAAGAAGTTTCGTAGCTGTGCCACGTTTTAATAATATTTAATTTCTCGGATGAGGATAAAAATGGCTTCTATGATGGCTGTTCCTTTCCAGTGTTACACTGTCATCAAACAATCGTCGAATCACCTCCACATGCCAGTTTGAAAAAGTTGTCATCTTTTCTTTGTCTGATCGCCAAACAAGTTTTTCATTACCTTTTACAACTAAGTTGCATGTTTCTCAATTAAGCCTTGTTAAATTCAGCAATGATGAGGCTTAACCAAACACAAAAGCTAGTCAAATCATTTTTGCTTCATTTGGTACAACTTACGCCACCTAAAATGACTGCATAAGTTACGGCATATTTTGTTGCACAAGTCACAGACTTACGCAGTGCGTAAGATTAATTAAATTGGCCTTAATCTGTTGGGTGACTTACACAAAAAAAATGTGACATAAGTAGAGTTACACCATTGCGTAAGGTTTGGTGAAATCGACTACAGGATGACTGACAAGCATGATCATGCATAAAGTCAAGTTCAGAAATGGACTCTTACTATGTTATCTTTTTTATGAGGATTTTCAGCCCAAAAATAATCCTGTGCCAGGCCATAAAACCTGCATCAACTGGCTAAGCTATCAATGGGCCCTATCAAGTCTAGTCAAGCAAACTGGGTGTTAATGCTGCCATCAAATCAAAGAGGGACCAGGACACAGGAAGTTTTAGGACAATAGGAAAATGGCTTGCCTAACCTTTTTGTTTTGTTTTTTTTCAATCTCTCTTTATGATGTCGGGTTGGGTAGGTGTGCGGTGGGTTGATTAATTATAAATCTCTGTGACAGTCCTCACCTTCTTTGTTTATCTTTCCTTCTTTCATGAGGACAACTTTCTTTTTATCTTCTTCTTTCTCTTTGTTCATACTCTTTGGCTGAAGTCTCTTAATGTCCCAGTGACTCCAAGCATCTGGTCCTGGTTTGATACCTACAATGACACAGAAATATATCTTCTATAGAACATGTGGAAAGCATGGGTATACTATCATTAAGAGGGCATCGCCTCTAAGCAGTCAGGTTGGTACACACTCAGGCACATTCTAGGCATCAATTCTAGGCAGTCAGGTTGGTACACACTCAGGCACATTCCAGGCATCACTTCTAGGCAGTCAGGTTGGTACACACTCAGGCACATTCCAGGCATCACCTGTAGGCAGTCAGGTTGGTACACAGGCACATTCCAGGCATCACCTCTAAGCAGTCAGGTTGGTACACACTCAGGCACATTCTAGGCATCACCTCTAGGCAGTCAGGTTGGTACACACTCAGGCACATTCTAGGCATCACCTCTAGGCAGTCAGGTTGGTACACACTCAGGCACATTCCAGGCATCACCTCTAAGCAGTCAGGTTGGTACACACTCAGGCACATTCCAGGCATCCTCTCTGAGTGAATCTTGAGCAGATTTCACAGCAGTCAGTAAGGCTGTCAGTACCTACATCGACAGGTTCTCCTTGGAATAAGGCCCAAGTTTCCTCTTCCAATTCTCATGTTGTCCCCTCTGAAAGGACTTTACTGAGACACTTTACAGTCCTTGGACCACAACCGGTAAAAACAGAGGCAATAAATCCACATTGATGCAAAAGCTGAAAGGTTTTACGTTACCTGCCACCCATTCACTGCACAGTGTTGCTACTTTCTGCTTGAACTTGGCATCGAAATTGTGATGTGAATCAATGAACGCTTCCCAGTAAGCAGCAAACATGGACTGGGCCAGACAGTCAGAATAAACCTGCCAGCAAAAGATTACATAGCGCCATTGTCAATTACAAAATTACCAATAAATTTTCAATTTTAATGTTTTACATTTTATTTTTTTCTCATCAAGTAAACATTAAACTTATTACATTAAAAAATTACAGCAAATTACATAAATATTAAAAAAAAGAAAAAAGACTACACTGATAAAATCAAATATTCACTTTCTATCAGTGGACAGACAGTAATTATTTGGTCTACCTGTTTAGACAAATAAAAAAGAAAGAAAGACTAAAAGAAATAAAATGAAAATATCTCCTGTCTCTACAAAAATACACCTAAAAAATAAGTTATGAAATTTGAAAAACACGGCTATTGAAAAACAATAGTGACAAGGTCCAATGAGACAGAAGATAAAGACAGATTTAAAGGAGGGGGACGACAGGGTCAATGGCGACGTAAGGAAAGAAACAAAGAAGACTAGGAGAAGGAAGAACCCTTGGAGCTATGAAAGGTTTGTGAGTGGGGGAATTTTCTGATATCCTAAATTGAAATCAAATTGAAATGCACTAAATGCCCAACACAGCTATTCAGTCCTACACCATTAGTGCAATAGTTCCTAGGCTATTTTTTCAGTGTCTGCACTAGTAATCATAAGTAAGAAGTCATGGGTTCGAATCCCACTAAAACAAGCTTGTGATTTTTATGCACTAAATGCCCAACACAGCTATTCAGTCCTACATCATC